CTGGGAAAATTAATAAATGTCACAATGGGATTTCTTTTTGAATGTTGGCTTGTGGGGTGGCCGAGCCTGCCGTTGGCCTGGTCTGCTCGGTGCCATGCACAGCCCCCAGGGCGATACCGAAACGGGGCTCCCGGGGGTACGGTCAGCGCCTTTCCTAGCAGCGAGCCGCGCTGCTTGGGCGTCACGTCCCAGGCAGAATGATTGATTGTTCGGGCAACCTGAGGGAAAAGTTGGTTTGTTTAATTGCTGCAGGAGCCAGCAGGCAGCCCGTGCTAGCCCTTGTGCAGGGTCCGTGATCCCCAGGGTCACGCCGCTCTCCAGGTGTCACCCCGTGTCTGGCTTGCAGCGACGGTAGCAAAACAGATGTGTGTCAGCATAGATCTTGTATGATGGAGTGACATAATGACTTGTGTGCCTGTATGAAGCTGAAGCTTTTTCTTGTAAATACAAGTTCTGAATCAAAACCCTGCAAGTTGCCTTAAGCTGCTTCTGTAGTAGGGTGAAAGCCTTGTTCTAGACTTTTTAACTACCTTAGAAGAAAAACCGACTGAGGATTTTTATTAAGTGCCCGTTTGTTCCCCAGTTAAGTTTCCTGATGTGCTTTTCCCTGGCCCAGGCTGCTCTTCCCTGAGGTGGTCGCATCCAGAGCGAGCTATGCGATGCAAAGCTCATCTTCCAAGAGCTGTGCTCTCGCAGGAAGTGGGTAACGAGAGCAGCTTCCGCAGGGGGCTGGGTCCCAGCGGCCATTGGAGATCTGCATGTGACTTATGTAAATTAAAGTTTGCCTGAGATAACGGATTGGGGGCTCTTGTATCAGTCTCGGGGATTGCCTGAGCTTGAAGGAGTTACTTTCCTGTTACACTTTCAAAAAATATGAGTAAGTGTTCTTCTACCTGCTTAATTTTAATACCACAGGGAAACAATTAAACTCTTGTAAAACCTGTGCTGGCTTGAAAGTGCTAGATCAAGGCTCCTGGTGTAGGCATGTCCTAAGTTATTAATGTGGGTGAAAGCTGAGGGCTTGGACAGAGGGACTGCTGCTGCAGACCAGGCTCTGCCAGGTGCTTCTTGGTACTCCAGAATATGACTGTTCAGTATGTTAGTGTGGTTTATAAACTGCATTAATGAAAATCCCATGAGCACGTGGGTGTGTGAAATGCTGAAAATTTCCCTGGTTCTGCAGAAGTGGGCTGTTAGGAACCTGCAAGCTTAGTTTAAAGTGCTGGGTAGGTATACCAAGGAAGAAGATATGTGGTGTCTTCAGCTGGTAATGCAAACCTGATGGCAGGTCTCCCACCACAGCTCATTCTGGAACTCATATTTTTTTATATATATATTTTTTGGGCGGGGAGAGGAACGGGACACAAAAAGCAAAAAGCCCTGGCAGCGATAGAAGTTTTTTTTTCTTTCAGTGTTACCAAGTGGTAGAGCTGAAACAATGGGCCAAGGCTGACCCTTGCTGCAGTGATACAGTTCAGGTGACACTCAGGACCTCAGTTCCAGGTCTTGGTTGCGTGAAATGGTGGGCAGTCAGCAGTCTGGAGGTGCAGTGTTTTAACAGTGTAATTGCTTTATTCGTTTCATGAGTTGTAGAGAACAGTAAGAATCCTTCATGTTTGGTGTGGTTTTCAGGGTGACTTGTGATTTAAATTAGAGGAATATCGTTACCCCCCTCCCTTTTTTTTCTCTGGGCATACACAAGTTCCATTCTGGTTTTAGTCCAACTCTCAGGATGTGAGAACGGTGCCTCTGCTGTGCCCCAGCACTCTGAACTGCCTTGGACAGCGGTCAAACCAGCTTCGAGAGAAGTTTTCACGAATAGCAAGTTCTCTAGATTTTTGTGAGACCAGGAGAAGACAAGGAACTCCAGTTATACCCCTACTGAAAGAGGGGAAAAAGAGCTTTTATTAGAAACTGGAGAATCTCTGCTAGGAAGAGGTGCTGGCTCCGTCAACCCTGTCCTGGCAGGAGCTGGTCTGCCTGGTATCCTCTTCATCTTTCTCCTGGCATGCGTATGGTACACAAACACATGAGCTAAACTGCCATGTTGGCTGCACGTTAACAGCATCTGCTTCTTTTTTAATTTTTATTAAAAAGAAGTTTCCCTTGTTAGATTTGGGTTAAAAATCTCTAGCCTTGGAACTGTGCCTATAAATAAATAAAGCCAGATCCTCTACTGACTTACTGCCTTTCTCCTTCTTTTTCTGTGTGATTTAGGTAGCATTTCTGTTGGGCTCTCTTCAGAGCTGAACCTCCTTACAGTTCTATGTTAGCTCAAAAGTGAAGTACAGAAACTCTGGCACAATCTGTGTGGTGATAGTGCCTGAGTTAACTCCTGGGATGGGGCTTGCTTGGCTGTCTGCTGGGGACATGCTGCAAGTTTGACTGCAGTGAGCAGTGACTGAGAGAAAATTATTTTAATAATTTTCCTGTACTTTAAGCCCACATCTAAGGGAGCAGTGAGTTATTAGGCCACCAATTTAATTTTTCATTTTGGTGAGGTGCACGTTGCCTTGCTCATCTTACGTATTCCCTATAAGGAGATCTGTGTTGCTCAGTTGATGCAGTGCTTTCACTTGATCTTAGATAAAAATGCCTGTAGCATTATCTGAAGAATAACATCCTGAGCTATGACTAGCTATCTTTCTATGATTTTTGGGAGAGTACTAATGGACTCCCAGCAAAACTTGTGCAGTGAGGTTTTACTTGAAGCCTTAAACAGCCATCTTTCAGGGTCACATAAATGACTAAGAAATTATTCTTATGTTGCAGTTATCTCTGAGAGAGTTCTTCTGATCATTGTGCAGCAAGGTGGGCTCAGTGAAGGGAGCCATGTGCTCACACCGCAGGGACTGCTGCATGGAGGCTTGTCCGGTTCATTGTTGTGATGAAGTGGGATGTATCAGTGCCCCGCTTTTGCTGAGGAGAGCTAAGGAAGGTGCATGTTCATTTGAGTTACAGACCTACTTATGCTGCCTTATGCAACATTTCTTAGATTTCTCCCAATGTAACTTTTTGAGCTCTTACTGTGTTCACACACATCTCCCCCAGAGCTGTGCTTGGCCCCACTAACTGCACATGATTGCTCAAAGCAAAAGCAGCTCACTGCCTTCAGGGTAGGGCACTGAAAATGAGATTTATTCACTAGCTACAGATGTAAACACTTGGACGTCAGTCCAGCTGAGCTGATGCCAACAATAACTTGGGTTTAGTCTTTTTAACTGTAAAATGTAAAAGCTGCCTTTGCAGAGTTGTACTGCTTGCTTCTTACTCATTCTGCAGGTTCTCAGGGGTGGTCTGCAGGTTGGGAAGCACTGGGACAACACTGCTGGTAGGTGGGACCCATCTGTGCAAGGGCTGGCTATGCACCTGTGCTGTGCGCGTGGCTTATATCCCATGCTGGTCTCTTGCAGGTGGAAGTGGACAGTTTCAGACATGAAGCCGAGAGGGCTCCAGAGCTGTGACCCTTCATGGTACAAGCTACAGCACATGCTCTGAAACAACTAAAGACTTATAATAAGCAGTAGCAATGCAAGGAATAGTGTTTGCTGCAAGATGGGATCAGAAAAGAAAGAATAAGGGCATTGAAGAGTAAGGGGTCTGTCTTAGAAATTGCTAGGTGAAAATGCCCAGAATTACTCTGCAAGTGATTCCCTCCCTCCCACTGGAAGGGAAGGCAGAAGGGAGGGTGACCTCTTTCCACCTGACCAAGGGTTTGAAGGTGCGTTTACTGCTGAAGTTTGCACTCCTCTTACATGTGCCCTTTTTTGTTGTGTAACCAAAGAGTAAAAAAAGTCATTAAGAGCTCCCCATTGGGCACACTCAGCTACAAACTGAAAGAAAGAAATTAAGTAACTGACTAACCTGGATTTAGGATTTTGAGGGATTTCATGCTACTTTTTCTGCTTGTGTCCTTTGATTTAGATAAAACCTCTTCCAGCTAGTGTAAACTTTGAAAGTTTGCAGCATTCTTGCCTTCCTTCACTAATTTGAAGACAGTTGTCAGAGATGTCTCTTTGTACTTGAGGAAGAATGCTCAAAGGCCTTCCCTATGTATTTGTCAGAGAGACTGTGTCCCAGCAGGATGATGCTTTACTCCAGGCCAACCTGTGGTTGATGTGGTCATGATTATTGACCCACATGGAAATACCATGGCATGCTGAAGGCTGCCCCAACTTCCTTTGGAATGGTGGGAACCTCCTGTGAGCCCTTGGTTGAAGGACGGATGTGTTGCTTGGTACAAACATGCAGAACAACTCCAACATGCCAGAACTAAAACTTGAAAAGATCGTAAGCTTCAGGATGTGTTCTGAGGCAGTGTTTGCCAAAGTAAAACCCTTCCCGGTTTTTCCTTCATCAAACTGCATTGTCAGGGAAACAGTGTAAGCTTTAACTTAAGTGAAAAACGCCCCTAAAGTAAGCAATTTCTTTAAGCAGCAGAATTTTTTCTGCATGAATTTATTGGTGTCTTATGTTATGGTTGTGTTCACATTCTTCCTTGAAGATCTTCTGGTAAGGACACTTTTATGGAATTTTTATGGAATTCATGGAATAGCTGCTTCTTTTTTTTTTTTTTTTTTTGTTGGGTTTTGGTGGTGTTTTTTGGTTTTTTTCTATGTGTGTGTTTTTTTGTAATCATTTAGAGACATTTGTTCTCAATTTCTCCTTTTTATTCTCTCCAGGAGGTAATGTGAAGTAAGAATTCAGTGTATGAGGCAGTGTGATGGGGAAAAGCGTTTTTCTTCTGCCTTTGCACTGTCCTGTTTTGCTCGAGAAAAAGGCACATGCTCTTAATTATCATGAGGTGTGCTGGGTTTTATATAGAACTGTAAAATGGAAAAAGCTGAAGTGGCTGTAGTGGTGAACAGGGCACATGACTTCTTATTTATGGAAAACTCTGCCCTCATTAGCTTCTAAGCATTTTTCTTCCCTAATTTGTACCCTGTTTGTTTTGGGGAATGGGGGTGTCATGTTCGTATGGCTTACTGGGAGGGATGTGCTCTGTTAATATATGGCCCCTTTATCTTGCCATGCGCCTATTGGTCCTTATACACTTGAGGATTTTTACACGAAGAAGTTTCTTGGTTAGTCTGTCCCATTTTCCTCAGAAGTTAACGTATAGGCCACCTTAGCAAGCTTTACAGATGTTAGTTGTTTAAGAGATCTTTTTTAAAGTCTGTGGTCTGCAATGTGTCACCATAAAGCACTGATGTGAGTGATGTTCACAGCCGGAGAATGTTGGAGGAGAGCTCAAGGATGGGCAGCACCACTACGAGGGAGCCGTCGTTATACTCGATGCTGGAGCGCAGTATGGAAAAGTCATAGATCGTCGTGTGCGTGAGCTATTTGTCCAGTCTGAGATCTTCCCTTTGGAAACACCAGCCTTTGCAATCAGAGAACAAGGGTTTCGGTAGGTTGTTTCCTGTAATGCCTCTGCCTGTGCTTTCTGCTGCTTCTCTCCTTTTGGTCTAACAGGATGTATGGATGTCTACAGCAGTGGTAATTGCCTGGGGTTTTGTGAGCAATAGCTTTCATTATAATTATGTTAATGATTGCATCTTCAGCTTATCCACAGAAACACCCAGGCTTTGCTGGGGACACTTGTGTGGCAAAATAAATCTTTTTGCTTCTTAATGCCTTAATGTCATTTTAATAATTTCCATTTGTAAGTATAATTCAAGAGGTTGCTTTTTAAAAATGGATCTGCAAAAAATTATATGATCTTGTTGTTTTACCTGCTAAGCAAGGGTAGCTATTAATCAAGAAAACAAGTCTTGTGAGTTTCTAAAAATTGTTTAGTTTAATTAAAAAAACAGTCATTAACTTGGGTACTGAAGATATTTACTCAAGTAAATCATAACCATGCCAAACAGTTTCTGGGAAACAACCAAAAAACCTAACTGAAACTACCCCTTGTTGTTTGCAGCAAGAGAATGTCTTGCGATCATTTAGTGCTTTGTACATTCCTTTTTCTTGCTTTGTTAGGATTACCAGGGTATACATCTCAGGTGGGGAAAATTAATACGTTGAAGGCTACAAATCATCAAAACTTTACTTTTCAGTTTGGTACAAATGCAGAAATGTGATGCATGTGTGCTGCTTAGTTATGCCTGACAACAGATAAGAAGGAGCTTTTAGAATTGCATTTTTCTAGTCACTGATAATTAGTGAACCAGTAAACAGTATATTTTAGTAAGTCAAATAGAAACTTATTGATCTGTTCTGAAAATACAGAGAACAGAAACCCCAGGAACTGCTGGGTCTGTCAGGTAGCTGTTGTGTGAAGAATTTATCTTTCAGAAATGTCCTGAAAAATACTTGTAAGCTCTTGTTTCTATTCTCCAACAATCAGGTCTTTAAAAGATGGACATACCTAATTGCTGTTTTAAAAAGAATACCTGCAACTCCTCTGTGTTGGGTATGAGGAGTGGGTCTTAGTACTAATGATGTTCAGTCTCAGATCTGTGCTGTACTGATGCAGGTTTGTAGGAAGAAGACATTTTTTCCCCCTTTCTTTTCACAGTTGAATGTTCTTCAAAGTCTCATGATTAGACTGGTTGGACTTGTCATTCCAACTAATTGCTTTCTAAAATGTGACAAAACCTCTTAATTCAAAAGGTCAGTTCTCAAGGTTAAGTAGTGGCTTCAGGTTATCAGTTACCCAGATTTGTAAGTAAGCTTCGTGTCCACAATTTCAGTCAGTTGTTTTCATTCAGGAAAGCTCAATAAATACTGGTGTCAGCCACTGGGTATCTTTATTCAGGGACTGCCATAAAAATGAGTCTGTGGTTTTACTGCAAGATTTTTATATAAATTCCATGTATTGTGGGAATAATCAGGTTTCCATATTGCAGCCGTGCATTGAATGGGCCAAGGAGCTGTGCTTTGGTCTGTGTTAAGGTTTGAGACAAGCAGCCAGATTGAACATTTTGCTAAATTGTATTTATATATTGTGTTTAAAAAGCTTGCTCCTCAATTTTCATAGTTTCAGAACAATCTCTAGTGACAAATTTCATCTAAATGTGACATAAATGTTAGGAGTTTCCACAAGTTCCTTCAGCAAGGGCTGAATAGGTGTCACAGTCACAGGCTTTGCTGGTGTAAGCCTGAATCTGGCACTGTCTGAGCTCTGGCGTGAGTCCTGAGGTTGGGGTGTCAATGCATGCATCTTACTCTTGGTTTTTTTATATGGTTCCTGATGTGCCTTTAATCCATTGCAAACAGGCTTTCCAATGCTAAGTCAGATTGCTTTGGAAGTAGTTTAAGGTAAACCAGAAAAAGTTATATTCATAGTAAGGCAAGAAAGTATGTATATAAATTACATGGTATTGCAGTAAAACTTGCAAAATCTACATCCCATGCTGGTTTTACTTTCTCCCGGATAGTTGGGAAGATGCAGGTTCCTCCCTCACCCTCAGCTCATAATTTTTTTTCTTTAATACTTGGACACATTGGATAACCTTTCTGTATTCTGTGGGATTTAAATTGGTATGGATAAAAATAGATTTTTAAGACTTTTTTAACAGAACAGTCTATAGCTCTTTTGACTTCTCATAAGAATGTTCAATTTTTGTGTGGTTATATTTCTTTTAGTTAATATTGAATAGAGTTCTGTACATATGGCAGTTAAGAAAATGCTTATGTAGGGGGAGTTATTAGAAGCAGTAATACCACCAGGCATTAAAAGTTTTCAGGCTCTTTCTGGCAGTGTCCAAGTGTAGGAAATTCATCATGTCTCCAACTTGAAAAGAAGTGCCTCTGCATAAAAACAAAGAATGGTTTGGGCTGAAAGGGACTTTAAAGCTCCTCCAGTTCCAACCCCCTGCCATGGACAGGGCACCTTCCACTATACTGGGTTGTTCCAAGCCTTGTCCAGCCTGGCCTTGAACACTGCCAGGAATGGGGCAGCCACAGCTTCTCTGGGCAATGCATTCCAGTGCCTCACCACCCTCACAGTAAAGAACTTCTTCCTAATATCTAATCTAAATCTCCCTTCTGTCAGTTTAAAGCCATTCCCCCCTTGTCCTGTCCCTATATGCCCTTGTTAAAAGTCCCTCTCCAGCTTTCTTGTAGGCCCCCTTTAGGTACTGGAAGACTGTTATAAATCCTCCCCTGAGCCTTCTCTTCTCCAGGCTGAACAACCCCAGCTCTTTCAGCCTGCCTCCATAGGAGAGGTGCTCCAGCCCCTGAGCATCTCTGTGGCCTTCTCTGGACTGGCTCCAACAGGTCCATGTGTTGGGGGCCCCGGAGCTGAAAGCAGTACTCCAGGTGAGGTGTCACGAGAATGGTGTTAGAGGGACAGAATCATTTCCCTCAGCTGGCTGGCCATGCTGCTTTTAATGCAGCCTAGCATATGGTTGGCTTTCTGGGCTGCAAGTGCACACTGGCAGGTCATGTTGAGCTTCTCATCAACAAATGTGCCCAAGTCCTCCTCAGGGCTGCTCTCAATCAATTCCCTGCCCAGCCTGTAGTTGTGCTCAGGATTGTCCCAACCAGGTCCAGGACTTTGCACTTTGCCTTGTGGAACTTTTTGTGCTGGCCCACCTCTTGAGCCTGTCCGGGTCGCTCTGGATGGCATCTCTTCCATCCACACCTCTGTCAGCTGTATGCTTACTCCAAACCTCATGTGTGGATCCCAACATACAAAGAAATAAATGCTGTGTCTTCCAACTCACAAGCTGCAGTACTTTGGCTCTGAGGAATGCCTCTGTCCAGCCCTCCGCCTTCTTGCTCTGAATAACAAATTTGATGTTCCCTATGAAATAAACAGTACGTGAGGTCTCGTACACCTGTGTTTGATCGTGGGCCGAGGCCAAAATGCATTGCCCAACTGGCTCGTGCTTCTGCAGTTCGTGGTCTCGCAAATCATCATGGCTTGCAAAAGCTCTCTCTTCCCCTTGGAAAATATTTAATTTTCTGTTACAGCTTGAAGTATTAACTTCAAACCATACATGTTTGCATGTGTTGGACTTCTAATTCACAACTTGTTGCTAATGCCATTTCACTTTGTAATCAGGATGGATTAAGGGACATTTCCTCAGCAGCTTTAGAGATTTAGGAGTCTGTTTTTTTGAATGCAGCTTCCCTCCAGATGGCACAGACTTGAAGTATCTTAATGCTAATACTTTGCATTTGATCCTGACTGTCTTGCTTCTCTTGTAATTGACGCTTGGCTGTGAGGAATTAAAATAGTCACTTTTTAAGATAGTTTGTATTTGACTTCGTTTAAACTGATTAAATACCTCTCTGGCAAGCTGCTGGTTTTGACAGCTGTAGCATAGCAAAGTTAAGCTAAGCTAAGTTAGGATATCTGTGTTAAAAATTTTTATCAGAATATATAGAGTTCTAAGAGTGTTTAAAGCAAACGATATATTTTAGTTACATGTTTGTTTTAATCTTTTGTCTGCAGAGCTATCATTATATCTGGAGGACCAAACTCTGTGTATGCAGAAGATGCACCATGGTTTGACCCAGCAATATTTACAATAGGAAAACCAGTTCTTGGAATCTGCTATGGCATGCAGGTGCTGCTGCAAGTTATGTTTGTCTACAGCCATCTTTAGGCCTCATTTCTGATATTAACTGCTACTGGACCCGTTTTTCAAATAGAAGTAGTATGCCACATGTGCAAAAGATATTTTTAAAATCCCAGTTGTTAAACTGAGTATACTATGTATTCTTCTCTTGGCTTTGCCGTATCAATAGCATAAATGGTTTTTCTTTAAGTGCTGTGAATTGAGTTCCACCCTACCCTAATTGTCAGAATAAATATAACCTGGAAGTTATTAATTAACCCTCTCTAGCTGGTGTTGGAAAATTTGCCCCTCATGAATATAAGTGCAATATAGAATGTTTTTAGCATAGTTCTTTAAACATTTAAACTTTTAGCATAGTGTTTAAACACCTCCCCCTGCACCCAACACTTATTTACCTTAGGACTGATTGGTGATCCTGCAGTGATCTAGTAGATCCAAGCTGTGAATGAAGAAACAAACTTCCAAGAAGACAAGGGATGGATTAGATGCATGATTTCTGCTTGTGCATCTTGTGATTTTCCAGAGTTAGTGATTTACTAGGCTGGAAAATCTTTAGAAATGCTTGTAATTATGGAAATGGTGTTGGCACTCCCTGTTCTAAAGGGAAACGTGTTATATTAAAACGTGCCTTAAAATGCCAGGCAAATTGAAAGCCCTATTATCTAGCATCAAGTAGGGGAGTCCCTTAAGACTGACTTTACAGAAATGAATTAAGAGTGTGTATTAACACACTACTATTTCATTATAAAAGATTGAAATAGGTCAAGTACAATCTGTATAATATCAAACTGGACCTAAACTGAAGCATTAAATCTCTGAAAACTAAGGTAGTTGGAAAGTAAAACTTTAAAAGTGTTTTTAAAGTTGTCAGTTATACTTGCAAGGAGAAAAAATGTTTGAGACTTCTGAAATATTAAGATTCAGGTATCCAACTTCAAATGACAAGGTGAGGTTTTAGAAAGAGAAAACCTGGCTGAAAATTGTACTGCTCTGATGTAGTGAGTATTATTAACACAAAGGGAATAGACTCAAGTTTTTGACTGGTTCTCCAGAGCAGAGGTGCCAGATTTTGTGAAGTTTAAGCCTAACAGAGAGTCCTTAACTAAAGAATAGGTAACTTAGGCTTTTGTTTAGCAACATAACTATTTTATTTTTTTTTTAATGATAACCGGCCTCAGTTATTCGGCTGATTTGCAGAGCTGCCATTTGTAAGTGCAAGTAGATGTACACTATTGCATATGCATTATTTTGCAAATCTCTTCCTGTTTTCTACCGTTGTGGATTTCTGGTGCTCGTTCTGTGCAGCAGTGGTCCCTGGCTATGCTGCCCAAAGGCTGGCAGAAGGGAATGAGCCAGGTACAGAACAATGATTAATTTTGAAGAGAATTCTTGCAGCTTTGGAAAACTGTGTTTTAAATGAGTATAATAATGAAAAACTCGGTTGGTATTGGAGGGCTAGAGTTGTCAGTCACAAGCAGACTGAGGTATAAAGTGGTACTAGATTGTGTGGTGCTTTTTCATGTAGTATTCTTGTTTTGACAGATGATGAATAAGGTGTTTGGAGGTACAGTGCACAAGAAGAGTGTTAGAGAAGATGGAGTGTTCAGCATTACTCTGGATAACACATGTTCGCTGTTCAGGTGCTTACATGTTTTATATTATCAAAACAATATTGGAAATACCAGTCTGAAATTGGTGTCTGGATGAGAGGAAGGTTATTTTAAATAAATAGTGAAATTGCACCCGTGCTTATAGAATCATAGAACAGTTAGGGTTGGAAAGGACCTTAAGATCATCTAGTTCCAACCCCCCTGTCATGAGCAGGGACACCACACACTAAACTATGTTGCCCAAGGCTCTGTCCAGCCTGGCCTTGAACACCTCCAGGGTTGGAGCATTCACAACTTCCCTGGGCAACCTATTCCAGTGCCTCACCACCCTCACTGTGAAGAACTTCTTCCTTATATCTAACCTAAAGTTCCCCTGTTTAAGTTTAAAGCCATTACCCCTTGTCCTACCACTAGAGTCCCTAATGAAGAGTCCCTCCTCAGCATCCTTGTAGGTCCCCTTCAGATATTGGAAGGCTGCTATGAGGTCTCCACGCAGCCTTCTGTTCTCCAGGCTGAACAGCCCCAACTTTCTCAGCCTGTCTTCATACGGGAGGTGCTCCAGTCCTCTTATCATCCTCGTGGCCCTCCTCTGGACTTGCTCCAACAGCTCCATGTTCTTTTTATGTTGAGAACACCAGAACTGTGCACAATACTCCAAGTGAGGTCTCACAAGAGCAGAGTAGAGGGGCAGGATCACCTCCTTTGACCTGCTGGTCATGCTTCTTTTGATGCAGCCCAGGATCTGGTTGGCTTTCTGGGCTGCAAGTGCACACTGCCTGCTCATGTCGAGTTTCTCATCAATTGCCACCCTCAAGTCCTTCTCCACCCAGCCTGTAGCTGTGCCTGGGGTTGTGATGACCCAGGTGTAGGACCTTGCACTTGGCTTGGTTAAACTTCATGAGGTTGGCATCAGCCCACCTCTCAAGCGTGTCCAGGTCCCTCTGGATGGCATCCCTTCCCTCCAGCGTATCAACCGAGCCACACAGCTTGGTGTCGTCGGCAAACTTGCTGAGGGTGCACTCAATTCCATTGTCCATGTCACCAACAAAGATGTTGAACAACACAGGTCCCAACACCGATCCCTGAGGGACACCACTGATTACTGGTCTCCGCGTGGACATTGAACCGTTGACCACAACTCTTTGTCTGCGGCCATCCAGCCCGTTCTTTATCCACTGAGTGGTCCATCCATCAAATTGGTGTCTCTCCAATTTAGAGACAAGGAGGTTGTGTGGGAATCTGATAATTTGTAATAAACCTTGTATGACTGTGTGCATAAATAAACAAGGTACTCATTTAAACAAATACTTAGGCATAACTTCTCATTTGATTCTAGAAATACAGACATATTTGCTTAGAATGTTGTGTAAACCCCTTATTTCAAAGTAGAATGTCTTTGTTGAGACAATGAAATGTGTACCACAACATGAGAGTTTTTGTGTTAAGTAAGCTCTTTTCTTCAGCTGTGCAGTGCATTGCTCTTGTATTGTTTGGCAGCCATCCAATTTTTGAGAGGGAATAGAAAATCTGAAACAATTTTTTTTCTACCTTCCTTTAAGATTGCTTTGTGAGGTTTTATAAAACCAGAATTAGATTGCTTGGTAGCTTGTCAAAGTCTCTCAAGTTCCTTGTAATAATTCTAAACATTCACTTGTACCCAGTGTTCCAATATTATTAACTTTCTCCACTAGGGCTATTGCAGAACTTGATACCCTGTCTAAAGTCTGAGGTGCCCAAATTGTCCTGAAAATATTTAGTTTTGAGCAAGAAAACTTCACTTAATTGAAATGAAAAGAAGTACTCCCAAGTATCCTGGTAGCCTCTAGATAGCTCTACATGTCACAGAGGGGATGCTTCACTATTGGCATGTTTATTAAAAACCCCACAAACTCATCTGAGTTAAGATAAGTTACCTCCTGCATGAGGGATGTATTGTACAAGAATTTATGCAGCTTGCAATGGAGGCATCTCAGAGCTGGAGATGACTGTTCTTGAGAAGGAAATCCTGCATATATTTCAGATGGGCCTGGTCAGTCGAGATATGCTTTAATTGGGATTCCTAAGGGATTTTCTTGAAAAGGCAGGTAGTTAGGTCTTCTTTTTTTAATTGATTATGATCTTTCTTTAGGGGCCTTCAGAAGGAAGAGCTTGTGCTCCTCACTCATGGCGATAGTGTGGATAAAGTAGCTGATGGATTCAAAGTGGTTGCACAGTCTGGGAACATTATAGCAGGTATTATTATTTTATACTGAAATTGTCTTTTGATAATGCTGGTTAAAGGAAAGAATTATGGCAGAGAGCAATTAGAACCAAATGGGAACAGAATGTCTCTGTTATTTTTAATGTCCAGTTAAGTTTTTAAAAATTTCTTGTATGAGCTTGCTTGTATGTTGTGCTGTAACGATAATAAAGAAATAGACATGAAAATGAATGATCCTGTTTTTAAATTGGTGGTTTTAAAAAAATATTTTTATAGTTTGTTATTTTAAAGTGTTCATGTGGTGTTTCTCTTTGACATAAATATTGTGCCCTTAAGGCAGGGCAGAGGAGGACATGTACTGTTGTGTGCAGTGTAAGCAGTGTTCAGGTTTTGCGCTATAATAGTACAAGTCAAACACAGCTTAATTATTAAAGCTTGATTAACTTGTTATTGTATTTACTGTCATTGGATGAGTGTTCAACTGAGCAAAAATAATGCTGTTACTGAAAAGAGTGTTTCAGATGTTAGATACAGGTTGTCATACACAGGAAAATGTAGGACCTTAGGAATTGGTTTATTTAAGCTACTCAAATTATTTAATGCCAAACAATGTCTTTGAGTCTCTTTTTCTAGGTGATGGGAGACCTGCAGAGGTCTTAAGTTTGCTGAGCCACTTAGTAAGATCTCGAAGTATTCACCTGGCTTATTTGAAAATTTTCATAAAAAAAAAAAAATAATCTTAAGATACTGTTTTTAAGTTATGTAACTAATTTGAGAAAAACTGACCTTTTAAAAGACTTGAAAATGTTCTGTTTCATTGTATTCATTCTTTTCCATTATATTCTGGCTTGCCTTTGAACCAATCTAGAGTTCATGCCTATTCAGACCACTCTATAAGTTGTTTTGCTATGTAAACTTTGCTGCATCCAGTGTGCAAACATAGGGATGTTTGCACAGCTTGACCAGCACGACCCTTCTAATGCAGATGCAGCTCTGTCTGTGTGGCTTGGTTGCAGCGTTGTGTAAGATATCATGTTGTGAGGTAAAAATAAATGCAATTGATTTCCTGTTTTCACAATGGTTTTCCTTGGATGTGTGAGTGTTTTTCATGGTTTCTGAGGGATTGGGTATTCTGGATCTGTAACAGTACCTGTGTTCCTAATCTTAACCAGAATCTTTAGTTTTGATTGGTGATTTGTGCCAAAGTGTGGCAGAATAAATCACTCAAAGTGTCTGCTTGACTTTCTCAGGTATGCATTTCACTTGCAATTTTTTTTATTTTCTTTTTTTTGTCATGCTCCTTTCTTTGCACCGATGAAGGCATAGCAAATGAATCTAAAAAACTGTATGGAGCACAGTTCCACCCTGAAGTTAGCCTCACAGTGAATGGAAAAATGATCCTGAAGAATTTTCTTTATGATATTGCGGGATGCAGCGGTACCTTTACAGTGGAAAACAGAGAGCTTCAGTGCATTCAAGACATCAAAGAGAAAGTGGGCTTGTCAAAAGTCCTAGTAAGTAGATTGAACTGAAGCTGAAAGATTATTTGCAAAAGCCTGACAAACACTGACACTTAAGTTACTTGGGTTAATTAAATGCAGAATTGTCATAGTTTGGGTAATAAATTAAACAGGTTTTGGAAAGTTTGCACAATTGGGTCAATACACTATTTGACTTTGTTCCCTTCAAATCATTGACTGTTCTGATCGTCATAGCTGTATCTGAATTATTTGTTAACACTTTCCTCATAAACAGCTGACCAAGTTTTGTTTTGTTTTGTTTCTTTTTTCTTCATCCTTAGGTTTTACTCAGTGGCGGTGTAGACTCAACAGTCTGTACTGCTCTCCTGAACAGAGCTTTAAACCGAGATCAGGTCATAGCTGTACACATAGATAATGGATTTATGCGCAAAAGAGAGAGTCAGTCTGTGGAGGAGGCACTCAAAAAACTTGGGATTCAAGTTAAAGGTACCATAACTTTGTTAAATACACCTGATACCACTAGTGATGTGGCCAGTCTCCTAAAATGTACCTTGAGTGTTTTGTTTCATTGATTTGAATTTATCTTTGCAGTTCTCAGACTTTAACATACCAAAGCATGCTTGCTAATTTGGATCCACCTAGGCCTATTCACAAAATTTCAGACCTAAAATATTAAGCCTTACTTATTTGATGGGAACATAAAATGAACCGATCCATCTCTTCAGTAGCTGAAATCTGCTGCTGGAACACAGCAAAGTGGTGGACATGCATCTCAGTCACTTTTCTGCTGATAGTTGAGTAATCCTTTTCAGCTGCTGCAAAACTAATTCGATTGCAGTTTTATTCAGTAACGTTATTAACAGTCCTCCACTATGGCTTTATTTCTTGTCCTAGATCTCTTCCTTTTTAAACTGTGAGCTCATTTGGGTGATTAAATGTCAAAATTACATTTTCAAGGCCTTTTTCTTTTCTTTCTTTTTTTTTTTTTTTTTTAAATTTCCCTTCCTCTCCTGGCTTTTAAATAGGTGCGTTTTAGATGGTTTGGGAGTAGCTTGTTGAGAAGCAATACATTATGTGGGAGCAGAAGGTACTTTGTCATGGCTGATAAGAAGGTTTAGAGCTTTTTGGTAGCTGAAGTATGAGGAGGTCAGAGAAGACAAATACTGTATGCTTGAGTTGTGCAAAAACTAAGCTGCTTTATACGGCTTGGCTGATATATTTCATGAGTAATAGCTGCCTCTTCCTGGGGCTGTGCGTAAGTGCTGTTGTCAAGCGATTCTCTTGTGTTTTGGTGGGGAAGCATGGCATTAGGTGAGCAATGCTTTCCACTAGCCCAACAGTGTGAAACCGTGCAGGGAGCTGCACCTTAGTATTTTGGAGATTGGGCTGCAATCTCCCGACACAGTAAAGTCTAAGCTTAACTTTGTTCTAGACACATCAGTGTTTTTTCTTTTACTTCCCTCCCTTTATTATTTAATTATTTTTACTTTTATTAGTGGAAAATCTATGTCAACTTCTTCCACTTTGTAGACTGAGAAACCTGGGCTCTGGCAGGCTGCCACAGTAACAAATTGAAGGAATCCCTTTGCTAGAAATACTCCTTCTGTAGGTCACGGAGTTCAGTGCTGGTAGAAGGTGCCAAAGAGCCTCCTAGCTGATCTCTGCATTGAGAGCCTCTCTAAATTAAGAGGCTTAATGTACCATGAGTAAATACTGCGTTATTTAATTTTGGTTGCAGAAAGGCCTTGGGGAAATACCATCTGATAAACTATTTAAATAAAGCAAGTAAATTATAATCTAAGAGGGAAGGCAAGAACTCAACTTTCACATGGTTTCATAATATGGAGGGGAAAAAAAGTGCCCTCTAGGGTAGGTTAATAAGAAAAATAAAATGCTTCTGTTACAATTAATTCTCGAGGTATTGAACAGCCCTATTTAGTGCAGTTAATAGTCAAAGGACTGGAATAATTTTTATTTTTTTTTTAAAGCAATAGAGTGGAATTTATTTTTTGCAACCTTGCATAATAATCTTTATTGGCTTTGCCAAAAAATTCCTGTAATTTCATGTAGTGGTGAATGCAGCTCATTCATTCTACAATGGTACAACAACCCTGCCCATCTCAGATGAGGACAGAACTCCACGTAAAAGAATTAGCAAGACATTAAATATGACCACAAGTCCTGAAGAAAAAAGAAAAATTATTGGTGACACCTTTGTTAAGGTAATGTTTATGATTATTTGTTGGTTGGATTTTTTTGTGTTTTTTTGTTTTGTTTTGTTTTTTAATAATACCATTTCTAGATACATTACCTACATGAGACTGTTTAATTCTTAAGTACTGTGCACTCGACGGCACCAGTGGTCTCGCAAGTTGTGGGTGACCAAAAGAGCCATTGGTATGTTAACCATAAGCCTAAAGCTTTTTGGCAGCCAATCAGTGGTCACAACATTGTTCACAGGCATTGTGTTAGATCCGTCACAGTGTTTAGATATACTATGTTGGTTGGCCATTCATTTCTGTTGCATAAGCTCCCGTGTAATATTTTTCACCAAATCAGTGGGTAAGGTGAATTGGAGTGTTGCTTTGTTGAAAATAAGCCATTTTCCATCTATCAGCTACGAGTGCTGGTGATGGAGGGAAGAATACAGTATTTAACAGGCAGTGGTGTTCCTGTAGTCTGAAGGTACATTTTCCTTTTTCTGTTTGACAAAATTCAGGGGTATAGGACTATTTCAGCAGTGGATTAGTGTCATAATTACTCTTCCTGTTTGTGCTTTTGCAGCTCAGTAGGATTTGGCATGTTGGGCAATCCATTGTCTTCCTTTAGACCTTTGACAACAAAAAAATATTGGAACACTTTTTTCCCCTCCCCCCCCCTCTATCTTACAGATTGCCAATGAGGTTATTGGAGAAATGAATCTGAAACCTGAAGAGGTTTTTCTTGCTCAGGGTACCCTCAGACCTGATCTCATTGAAAGTGCTTCCCTTGTTGCAAGTGGCAAAGCTGAAGTCATCAAAACCCATCATAATGACACAGAGCTGATTCGGAAGTTAAGAGAAGAGGTAAATGAAAATGGGGATACTTCTGGTGTATCCTTCTGTTTCTCACAGGTGTGAAACCGAGTACCAAAAATGAACAACCTCTATGTTGTGTCGGTATAACTGTCCTATGTTGATGGGAACCTATTCTGATGGGGCCCTTCAGCTTCTATTGTAAGGCATTGCAATTTATTACACTTATTTCTAGCTGCTGCATTCTCAAAGTAGTTAAAATTGTTAAAGTATTATCCAGGACTCGATACTGAGGAAGATGTCAACAAATTGAATGTGTATCGTTCAGGGTGAGCAATGGTGTTCTCAGCTGCAAGCTGAAAGCTGTTTCCTCACTCTTACATTTTAACCCTCAAAACAAACCTGAGTTCTAGTAAGGAAGCAGAGCAATATTGAATGTCTTTAGCAGGAGTGTGGTTTAAGACTTCTCAGACAACTTTACTCTGGTTCAGCTGGAATTCATGATGTGATGATACACATCATAAGATACAACTTATTCCTTCTGTTTTATCTTGTTCTGAACACCAGTCAATGAGTGACTTTTTAGGTATTGATAGTCAAGGTCTGGTACGTCGTGGAATCAGGTAAGAGCAGTGACAGTGCTTCAGTGAAAAGATAATGTGGTCCTGTTGAGAAAGGCCCAAATTCTCTTGAATGTCTTGTAACATTCAGCACTGCAAGCATAGTATTCTCCCCTCTTTGGAGAGAAAGAATGAGAATGATATACTTAAATGGATTGAAATCTAGGAGTAGTTCCTTCAGGTGCCTACAGGGATGAGTTCTTTCTTTTCTTTTGCAGCTTTTGCATCACGTTTCTAGTAACCTGCTCGGCTGTCTGCCAGCAGCATGCTGTTGGCACAGAGCCTGTTTGCCAGTTGTAAATTTTAAGAACCCACAGATCTTTCTGAAATGGTCCAATATGGACCCCCTATGGATGATGACCAGAGCTTGAAAATAATATGAACACAGGATGTTGAGCTGTCTGAGGATAAACAGCACAAGTTCTGTCCCTTTGATTGTACTTCATATCGGACTATTTAGTTCAAAGTCCAGAAAAGTTTTCTGAATACCTTTCCTGCGCAGCGCTCTAAGTATTAGCCAATGTAGGAGACTGCCCTATTTTGCCTTTTCTGACATTAGAATGGTAAGTTCTCTAACAGTATTATAAAATACACTTAAGAAAGAACCAACACGAGACATCACATAAAAACCCTGTCGAAGGTGCTCAGTTAGAGAAGAGAAACTGTTAATGATCCATGCTTCTAATATTCATTGCTTCACAAAGTATTTCCAAGGCTTTTAGATTGGTTTGGACATATAGCAAGGACAAGAAAGGTCTGAATTTATGAAGACATAGCTGCAAGGTCAAGCTGCCTCTATCTACACTGATTGAGCCATTGATACTTCCAGCACAAACTTAAAATTCGTTGTCTTATGCTCTGTCCTGCAACTGTTTTACAAAGCCCATGTTCACACACATAAGTTGGGTTTTTTTTCCTCCAGTGTTTATGCAAGCATTGGCAGCCATTCTGTGAAAAGCATGCCAATTTGACTGCTACAACCTAAACATTAGAGAGTTTTTGTTTGAATATGTATGCTGGAGAGTAAATTGCTTTTTCTTTTTAAGGGTAAAGTAATAGAACCACTGAAAGACTTTCACAAAGATGAAGTGCGAGTGCTAGGAAGAGAACTCGGTCTTCCTGAAGAGCTGGTTTCAAGGCATCCCTTCCCAGGTATGAAAGTTGGTTTGTGCTATTTAATGAAGGGCTAAGTATCACATCAGTATTGTTTAGAAGATACTTAACCTGCAGTATGTTGGAATATAAAACTTACCTGTAAACACAGAGGTTGTTGATGGATTTAAGTTTTTATTTAAGCAGGATCTTCCTTCAGAAAAAGAACATTTCAGAGCAGCTTTATTATGTATAGTGATTAAAGGAAAGTTTTATAACTGAGTTTGCTTTTAGCTGCATTTGTTTCTTTTTAGTTGTGTAAGCTGAGCAAGAAATATCAGTCAAGTGCAGTTGTACGCTGCCTGAGCTGTCAAATGTATCTCACTTGAAATAATGGCTTATCTGCCTGCCTTTTTAAGGGGCATTTCCTGTTTTGAAAATGGTTGCATGGAGAAAAGACTGCACAAAAAAAACCCAAAACCCAAACCAACACCAAACTTGAAAAAGCTTGCAAGGAAAACATCCAGGTATATAATACAGGAAAGTCTATATCTTTTAAGAGGGGTATGTTTTTCTGTCCTTGTGTTTTAAAATCGTCCTGCAGGGTGTGTAGTAGTCACTTGCGGAGTGCGTAGGCTGTTGTGCTAATGCACCAGCATCCCACGAAATGCAAGAAGCTGTCTTCACACACTTCAAGCATATTACATGTGCTTTAGTATTAAGCAGTTTAAAGATCAAATAGCCTTCAGAGGTTGATCGAGACTCAGCTGTATGTTAAAAACAGCTCTTTTATCCCAGTTGCCTAGCAAAAGGAAGGAGGAGGTTCTTGTTCACTTTGGCTTGCCATCCACTACACTTCATCACCACTAGCTGCTGCTTTACACAACCAGCCAATTTAAGGTGTAGGTAAATAAAGCTTTAATGTCCTGAACAGAAATATTGTTCTGGAATAAATTGCTTACGTATTTTTTTTTTTTTGTCTTGTATGGTGTTAAGACAATTGAAGTGTAGGTACCATGGCAAAACATACTGTACTCAATGACCGACCTGATGTTCTAGATGCTGTCACATATTTTGCTGAAAGTTGGGTTCCTGTTTGATATAATGCTTTTTCAACTTTGCATTGCAGGTCCTGGTCTAGCAATCAGAGTGATATGTGCTGAAGAACCTTATGTGTGCAAAGACTTTCCTGAAACAAACAACATTCTGAAAATAGTTGCAGATTTTTCTGCAAGTGTTAAGAAGGTAACAAAATTGATGAATTCTAATATGCATAAAAGTAGTATGATCATTCTGTAGTGGTCTGCAATGAAGTTTCAGCTACTAAAAGTTTAAAACTACTTGTTTGGGCTCTTTAAGGAATAATTCATCCCAGTGCAATTCACTTGAAGCCACTCAGTATACTACAGTAGAATTTTTATCACCATGACTGGTGCAAGTGTTGGATGTTTTCTGGATACTGGAAGTTTATATCACTTTCAAATAGTAAATAAATTTTGTTTGTTAAACTTTGTGCAGATGAGATTTCTCAAGTAGTTCACTTAGTATCAGGAATAAGATTTTTCCCTCCCTGAAATAATTGTAACATTCTAGATTTGCATCCTCTAGCAGTCACTGAATGTCTAAATGAAAGTGCAGGCGTGAGGAACAGATGTCCTGAGCAAAAACCTGTAGTTTTTAACTGGTGATGTTTCAGTTCTCAATCTTTTAACTATTACAACCTTTGTGATAATTGTAAGCTCACCTGAACTAAACTACAAGACGGCTGAAAAGTTGTTAGCAGAGGTCTGTTCTAAGGTGTAAGTTCAGAGCAACTTCCAAAACTTTTTTATAAATACTGAAGGTTGAGGATTTACATCTGCTTTTCATTTAAAACATATTGTAGTGTAGCATAACAGGGTATTGCTTTGTTGTGTATGAAATAGAACACAAATTAAAAATATAGCTTTGTGAAAGAGAGAATAAGACCTTCACTTACAGTCCTAGAGAGCTTCGGCTTATAATACATACAATCTAATCAAATACAATTGGGTTTGCTAAAATTAAGTTGTTAAATGGTATGTTTTAAGTAGTTTCCAAGGGATAAATGTAGACTAAATTTAAGTGAACAGCTACTTAAATAATAATTTTATTTGCACTGTGTAAGTTCTGCTTGAGTGTTTGGGGACTTCATTTAAAATGTATTTTTCTGCATCACTGCACAGCCACATACTTTGCTGCAAAGGGTCAAAGCATGTACAACCGAAGAAGACCAGGAGAAGCTGATGCAGATTACAAGCCTACATTCACTGAATGCCTTCTTGTTACCAATCAAAACTGTGGGGGTGCAGGTAAATGGGTTCATTTGAAGGATGTTCTGAAGGCTGCTTCCTAGCAGCATGGCAGGCTGCATTGAAGCATAAAAATTGCTGCTTTGTAAATAAAGAGCTTGACTCAAGAACATAAACATCAAATGGCTGTGATACTGATGTTATTGTCTTTTGTCAGTGCTGTTAGTGCAAAAGCGTCAAGATACCTGAATAGACACTTGAGTAAATGCCAGGTGTTGTATTTGAGGATAGCATTAAGGTTGAATAATGCTGGTCACTTACAGACAGACTGTTCATAACATTCATGATTTTGTAGACCTGTAATCCTGTGGCTCCCTTTAAGGCTCAGAAATTCTAGACTAAGTTCATCAAACAATCCCTGCTTCGTACATTTGAACATGCTTGTTGCTCTTTCCTGTACTCTTTTAATTGTACTATATCCTTATCCTTGAGAGGAATGGAATGGGAGCACTGCAGGCTGTTCAGGATATGGAAACACTTGAATCCGTGCAGTGGCACTGTGTTTTCTTTCACTTGTTTGCTAATGCCATGCACGTTTTTATGGATTGGCCTTTGGCAACAGAAAGGTAAACCGAATACAAAGGCTGAGCTGGCATTTTCATGGAATTGCATGCAATAACTTGGAAGATTTCTTTACTGAGTAGTCATAGCTGTAAAGTACGTTTCTTTGCACTATCAGTATTGAATTACAGATCTTATTATTAGCTGTTTAATCTTGTGCGTTGCTTCTGTAACTCTCTGCAGTCAGCTTTCATTACTTTTAAACAGCAGTGTCCTCAGCACATTTCTGTGCTTCATCAGATGGTGTCATGAAAATACCAATACGCAATCAGTCCCTATGTTTTGGTCACCTTATATGAATCTTTCTATTCTGAATATTTCTTCTTACATACTTTTGTTAGCTCACGAGAGGTCTGTCATCTTACTCTTTGTTTTCTCATTCACTTGGTGTCTCCCATCATATTGATTTTGCCAGCTTAATGTCTGCTAAATGTTGGCACAAAATATGGTCCTGTAGCCTACAGAGTGAAAGGGAACCTATTTCATCAGGAAAGCTAACATTCAATTATTATTTTTCTTTTATAGGGAGACTGCCGTTCATATAGCTATGTTTGTGGGATCTCTAGTAAAGATGCTCCACACTGGGAGTCTCTTATGTTTCTTGCCAGGCTTATACCACGTATGTGCCACAACATAAACAGGTAAGTATTTTAAATTATCTTTGCTTCTAATGGTCTACTCAATATATGGAAGTTTAGCATGCACAAACATTCTCCTGTTTAATCTGTGGTATAATATTTTTGTCTGTTGGACAGGTTTATTATGCAGAGGTTACAAATAGACAAAAAGTCAAAACACAGGCTGTTGATTTCTTTTTCAAGATAGCAATTCCAGAAATAAACCAATTGCCTATTTTAATTTTTTTTTAAGCAATTGATTACACAACATCCAGTGTAACTTATGCAAAATCTTTTTTGAAAGATTCCAATCCTACCGATAAATCAGGGTGTTGTGCAGTATTTTTTCTTGCTTTGTGTCCAAAAAGGAATTTATGTGGGACTGTCAGTTCTCAGGGCACATAGGTGAGATCCATAGCTGGGTTTAATCTTAATTGAGCTCTCTTGTGAATATGCATTTTCTAGCTACTTGATTCCATAACTTTTTTAGCAGGTGAAGTTGCTTAGATAGTAAATCAGTTCTAGAGAATGCTTATCCTCCTTGCCTGGCTGTAGGCTGTTTGACAAAACTGCTTGTAATTGCTTATAGCAAAACTTAATTTTGTCACATAAGTGACATCTAAAAGAGGTGTCACTTATGTGGTATTATTCTTAAAGGTGAGATCTTGAACTGCAAGATACTTCTTTAAATGCAGAGCAAACAAAAGAAGGCATAAAATCAGGCTTGCGTGTGCTGGATTTACAGCATTGCTGTCTTTAAGCTCTTTTGGATTTAATACTATGCTTCTGCATATACCACATCTCTGGGAGTTCTGCTGTACCAGGGTGTTTTCAGAGTCTTTCACTGCTGTTGATAGGGACGCTGAAACTGGCAGTGCGAGGAGTACACTGAAGTAGTTGGTCTGCCCAACTATGCTTGCAGATTTTATATTACTAACAAAAATATAGAATGTAAAGCTTGCGTATTTTTCTGCTTCGGATTTTAGACAAGTATTCTTGGTTTGTATCTACAAACTCGTGTGAATACATCTTAGTAAATCCTTGTATGAGGGCAGTCAGACAGTATCATACTTTGCTTTTAATTCTGCAACATATAAACCACAACGGATGAGATTAAAAGATAAAGCTGATGTGACTGGTTTGAATTTAGGAGATATTTTATGACAGAAATAGTTATGTAGATTTATCAATTGCAGTGTTAGTGCCCTGTGCTGAAAACACACCTATTGATTAACAGCAAGATTTACTATGTTTTGGTGGTTTCCTATCAGGAGAGAAGGTAGAAATTGTAGACACTTATGAAGTAGCTTTCCTATAATAAACTTAACTTTTACTGACATTAAAGTAAAATCAAAAAAAATGTGCTTTGTGTTACTGCTGAGTTTGTGTATCTGTGTTTTTTCAGAGGAGTATTCCCTTAAGTAGTATTTGGGCTTTTGATAGTCTCTAGCAAGCCAAAATAAACAAATATGTCTGACTTCCAAAGCTAGTATGTCATGCTTATGGAATATATGCATGAAGTTATATTAAACCCTCCTTAGTAACTAAGGAGCAAAATCAAGTGTTATGCCTTTTTCCCCTAGTTTTATTTTCTTACTGCAATACTAAAGATGCTGTCTTTAGGCAATCTGTTCTTTTCTACGTGTGCAAAATGCATGGGGTTTTTTGTTGTTGTTTGGTGTGGGTTTCTGTGGGGTTTTTTTGTTTTGATTTTTTTTCCCCTGCCATCCTGGTATCCTCTTTGCTTTCCAGAGTTGTGTATGTGTTCGGACCACCAGTCAAAGAACCTCCTACAGATGTCACCCCCACTTTCCTGACAACAGGAGTCCTCAGCACTTTACGACAAGCTGATTTTGAGGCTCACACTATTCTCAGGGAGTCTGGTAGGTGCTTCGCCTTATCCCATAGATTAGATTCTTGTTTCAAGATCCCTGCACATCTAACTGGGTATAGTTATAGTGGTACTGCCAAAATCTACAAGCTTCTCGAATATCTCAAAAGAAGTGATAAATTAATGGGATGACAGGCAAGAGCCTTTTCTGAAAGTTGTAGAAGCTGATAGCTAAATGGCAGAAATTGCTAGCCTTTCTGCTAGCAGAACTAGTTTTAGGGGATTGGGGGGACAGAAACTTGCTTCTGATACATCATGAAGTGCTGAAGTACAGTGCTTCACTACAGTTCAAGGTTCTGCAAAAAGTACTGTTAGCCAGCTGGAAGTCAACAGAATTACTTCTCTTTGATCTCAGTTATCAGTATTTACCTGAAGGAAATAAGCTATGTAAAGAATTTGATACAGTTTCTAAATCATGTTTTCTTTGGGGTTTGTTTTTATTTATTTTTTTTTTTCTGGTTGGTTGGTTTTTTGGGTTTTTTGGGTTTTGGTGGGGTTTTTTGTTGTTTTTGTTTTGGGGTTTTTTTTGTTTGGTTTGGTTTTTTGGGGGGCAGTTTGTTCGTTTGTTTTTTTGGTGGAAAGAAGGGAACCTGAATACCAAGTTTTTTATGCTGATGTTCACTACCTGTGGTGGTTCATATTTCTCAATGTCAAAGCTGTATTTGTAAAGCCAGCCACTTGAGGCTACCAGGCGATAATACTTCAAACCCTTAACATCCAGGGGGCATTCAATATCGTGTGATAAGGTACACAGGCAGAGTCTGGGAATATTGTAGTTCCAAGGTTCAGGAATCAGTTGTTTGGGGCTTTTTCTGTGGGTGTGTTTTGGGTTTGTGGTTTTGGGTTTTTTTTTCATTTGTTTGGCTGGTTTGGTTTTGGTGTTTTGTTTTTGGTTGTTTGTTTTTTTTTTAATTATTATTATTATTATAAAGTCACAAAGGATATCTTTTTGAAAATACATTTGGTTTGCAAGGCAGTCTGAACAAAATTTGTACAGAATTAGCCTCAAGAGGCTGAGGATAACACCGTCAATTGTGTTTGTAAAACTGTAGATGTGTCTCGTTAACTTTTGGTGACACTTGGTTTTGTGTGAGTGAATCAGTCCCAAAAATAAGACGTGTCATTTAGTGAAAAAGACTGCTTGTACCAACAGCTCAGGCCGGTGCTAGCAGAGGGTGAGAAGCCTGCGTCAGCGTTAGACTGGTTCTGCAGGCTGCCACACATCTAAATCTCAAACTTTCAGATCATTTAAACAGTGAAATTAGGGTTTTTTTCTTTTCAGGAGGAGACTTAAAAAAAAAAAAAAAGAAGAGTGAGAGGTGACTGTCTGGAGTTACCTTCAAATACTAGCAACAGGGATATTCAAGAGCTTTCTCTTAAATATGTCAAAGATGCAGAAATACTTGTGAATAGTTTTTTATTGGGCGTGATACAGGGAAAGATAAAACCCCATGGTTATGTTATTTGGGAAGGAAAGTAGATCTTAATTTGCATTCACAGTGAATTATAAGGGTAACAGAGACCATCTAGGATTTGGGGTTTTTTTTTTCTACATGCCTGCAAACACTGAAGATCATTTCAAGTGGCAATTTGTGTAGTGCTAGTGTATGCACCACTGAGCGTGATCATCTGAGGTGTGGTAGCAGTAGCAACAAGATCACAGAAGATGTAAATGTAGCACCTAGTGTATAGTTCGAAGTACATGTGGGAAATTCTGAAGAACTTCTATCACGCTTGAGTCTTTAAACCAAATTAATGTACTTTGCACTACTGTTTCCTGAAGGTTATGCCGGAAAAATTAGCCAGATGCCGATAATACTGACACCGTTGCATTTTGATCGGGACCCCCTACAGAAACAGCCTTCCTGTCAAAGATCTGTGGTTATTCGAACTTTTATTACAAGTGATTTTATGACTGGTATTGCAGCAACTCCTGGTAATGAGGTTCCAGAAGAGGTAATACAGGTTTTCAAGCTTCTTTTCTACATGAGCTAGTGTTGTAGAAGCCTCATTTTGACTTTCTTCCCTCTCTCTTCATTGCTTGCCTTGACTTTGATTTTGTTGTGATTTTCTGTCTCTTTCATTGTATTCACTAGGATGAACATGCTGGTATTTTTGGAAAAAACTGTAACAAAATGAGAAGCTGGCAGATGGGTATGACAAACTTAAAGGCTATCCAGCAGAGTTGAGCCAAAAATACCATCAATTAAAAAAGGAAAAATACCACAACCATTCTTGGGATTTTTAAATCAATTTTTTGCATTAGTAATTGGAAATGTCCTAACATACAGAACTGACCTTGATTGCCAGTTCTGATTTTACTGGAACCTGCTGTTTAACATCTCAGTGTGTGCTGTTTCTATTTAGGTCACTAAGAGGATGTAGGAGTCAAGTTCAGGCATATTTTTCTGGGAAACTTTTTGTATGTCTAGTTTCAAGTACTTTGCCTCTCTGGGAATGCAGTGTAGATGAACAGGATTGACTTTTTTTTAAAAACACACTTTAAAAGCATACAAGTATTGCTTAGTAATTATATATAACTGAAGGCTTCTACTACAGGGCAACCTATTAATTTAAAAATAAATGTTTCAAGGTTAAGCTACCGTGTAAACTATTCCATTATATAAAATGAGGATTCATTCGACCTTGAATTTTTTGTTTGAGAACAAACAAAACAACCAAATACCACAAAACTCAGACCTAAACAACTCCCCTTCCCAGTCTTCAGAATGTAAAATAGTAATTTTAAGACTAGGTAATAATGTGGTAACAAACTATTAGAGGTTGTGGAGATTACCTGTATTTATGGGGAAACTAATCATATTTGATTTTAAAATTTCGTGTGTTTTTCCATGGAGAGCAAAGCACAGTTTAATTTATGCTTGCACTATAAACCAGCATGTCATGTAAGTGGCATTGTTCTGAACTGTGGGATTTTTTAGGAAGCTGAACTTCTAAGCAAGTTCTCATCTAGAAAATTTCTGTGAACATGAATTGATTGTGGAATTTGAGGAATGATGCTCATTGGAAACTTTCCTTTGGATGCCTCTTTCTGTTTGTCTTTGGTTGGTTTTTTGGGGTGTGTGTGTTTTGGGGTTGTTTGGTTTTGGTTTTTTTTACCTTTAGAGCTCCTTTTTTTGTTTTGAAAGGGGTTTCACTCCAGCTGTTGCTTTATGTTTAGTAGTGGCTCAGCTGGAGATGGTCTGAGAAAAGTCTGAAAGTGAGTGATAGGAACACATAACAGTGTATGTTCCTGCTGTACTTTAAAGAAATAGTGAAATAGAAAAGATGAAGAGCTGCTGCCTTGAAGGAATTGTATTGTGATCGACACCCTGGTTTATTACCAGTGCCAAAAAATGGCATGTTCCAAATAAAACTGCAGATGTGAAGTTAGAGCGTTTGTTTCAGTTGATTTTATTGGTTAATTGGTGGTAATATGATAATGTCTAGAGGTTCTTTCTCTCTTGTGTATGACAGAATTAGCATGAGCAAAGTTTTCCTTTTTTTAAGCTTTTTCCTGGATAGTTTTCATCAAGTCTGCATTACATGCTTCTGATTTACTTTTTCTGTCCACAATAGGTTGTGTTAAAAATGGTGGCGGAGATTAAGAAGATTCCTGGCATTTCTCGAGTGATGTATGACTTGACATCAAAGCCACCAGGAACCACAGAGTGGGAGTAATTAACTTTTTTCTATTAAAGTACTGTGTGCAGTCTAAACCATATCAGAAACCATTCCCAGTGTTGACATGCAGTACTGTGAAAGAGTGACTGGAGCTGCTACATCGCATCAGATTCCTCTCCTGGAGCATAAACCTGCGGTTAAGACCTGGGGATAATAACTAAGTGGGGCTGAGGATTTGTACGGGTAAATAATCATGGCAGCATTTCTGGTGCGCAGACAGATTCCTATTGCTTTTGCCTTTGTCTTACCAATTCTTCCTGTTTTCATGTGTTTTATTGTTAACTGTCATTTCAATGTCTCTTTGTTTTTGTACACTCTGTAAAAAGAGACAGTTTATTTACTTCTACCAAAAGCATTGTTACAGCCTAAAAAATGTAAAATGAATTCTTTGTGACCAACTGCTTTTGAACGGATTTATTATAAATAAATATTTTGCCAAATGGAGTAGTGGGTACTGTTGAGTTGTGGAATTACTGTGTATCTGTTGTGTACTGTTAAGGTTGTTCTGTATCGTTTGACATACTAGCCCATGGCAATAATGTGGAGCTCCAAAAGGGCAATGCTAAAATAACGAAATTACCTCTGTCTGTCTTTCTGTACTCACTCCCTCTTGCATCGCTCAGTTGGTGTGTGTGTTGGTAACAAACACATATACACCAGCTAATCTTTAGTATACACTTACTGCATGTATGCATATGTCAAATTCCAGACAGTGAAGTATCTTTGCATGCTTCTGGGGACTCTGATTGAAGTGTAAAAAATGGGAGTGCGGTTTGGAAAGCAGTTGCACCAGAGCTCCTGGATCTGCAAGTCCTGTTTCTGTCCTCTTGACGCTTGCGCCACAGTCCCTTCGCAGTCTGCTGCCGATGTGCTTTCCTTATACTTGATGACAGTTTATTTTCTATGCATTTGGTTTTACAGGAATTTTCTTTTGGTATGTATTGTACTTAGCTTGACCTTTAACATCATTGTAGTTATTAGTGTGAAGTCATGGTATCGGAGGTGGCTTGCCCAATCCATATAGATCCCTTCTGTCATTTGTATTCTGATGTTTATGTAGTTAAGTAAGCAATAATTTGAGAGATGGTTGCTTTGGACACCTGTGCTTTTCTGGTGTATTGAGGCAAAGCTATTCCTTCGACCTGAGAATTTTGAGCGTGTCCTACAATTGCTGAAAGTGAAAGTGACAGTTAAATTTTTGACCTGAGCAGCTTGCTGAGTGCTTACTGGGTACCTCCGCCAGTGGAGCTGTAACCGTGTATCCAGGTTCATCCCTCTTAAGCCATGGTTTGGGGGGTTTGGGGGTTTTTTTGGTGGTGTTTTGTTGGTTTTTTTTAATTTTTTTTATTTAGGCAATTGCATTTCATTCGGCTGCAAGATTACCCTAGTATTTTAGGGTAAAATACTTGTTCTAAACTGTTCAATAACATGGAGTATTTCATGGCTGTAGCTACTTATATTCACACTTGCATAGATTTGTGAACTGGAATAATGGTTGAAAGTGTTTGTTCTATATTCTTCTGATTGCACACATTTTCCTGTTGTTCTTACATTTGCTGCCTACACATTATGGAAATCTGGTTTAATTTCTGCTTGTAGGAACTGGCTAACTTGTGTAAATTTATTCTTTCGCCTGTGTCAGAGTGGTGCTTTTTTGCTTGGGGGAGGAGATGATGTGTGACAGCCCTCTGCTCTTTGAAACTCTTTGAGGCCACAGGCATGCAGGAGAGCAGCAGACCAGCAGCTGGGATAACTTGGAGTTGGGGACACTGCCACCCCCTCAGAACGCTGCTCCTGTGTTCTGGCAGGTTTTGTAGCTTGGCAAATTGATCAATATCTCAGCTTCCCCCTCAGCTGTATAAAGTGGGGGTAGTAATTCTCACCCACATCTATCATAACCCCTTTGAGCCTTTTGGATGAGCTTTTGTGATGTAAGTGAAGTATTATCAATACAAATGTTCTTTTATTACTGGAGTGTGAGCTGTAAGAGCTATTGGTCAAAAACTCTCTATGTCTGTTTGCCATGGCAGAATCTGTTATAGCATGGGTTCTGTTGCAAATGAATTTTCTTTGTAGCTTATCTCAAAAGAAAGCTCCCTAATGAAATTATGGCTGTGAGGTACATTTTAACTTTTTATCATAAAAAGCTGAGGGTAGTTGCTTTCATTACTCTGTTGGTATCTCAGATGTAACTGGTGCAATGACGAGAAATAGGTCTTCTTGTTGTGATGCAGAAGTCCTTCGGCCTTTCAATAATACGGCAGTTGTTGCTGTTGTAAGTAGGCTTGCTCTTGCTGCTGCTGCCGGTTTATGTTGCCTTGACAGCAAATAGGCAAAGCAGAAGGAATTACCAAAAAGTAATGCAAAGAATACAGAGCACCTCTTAAACCCTTCTCAGTTTTGACTGAGACAGAGTTGGTCTCTGTGTAAATAACTCTGCAGTGTGTAGTCACATAGTGATGATGTAACTCACAAGAAAACTTGTGTGACGGGTGGTGGTGCCCATTGGGTTAGGGGTTACAGTAACTGCTGTACCTGTTGACCACAAACTTGCAGCACACCTGGACAGGAATCTTATTCACAGCATGTTGCACACTTGGAAGTCCTTCTTGGAGTTGCATCTTAACTATAGGCATGATTTATGCCAGTATGCTATGTGTATACTGAAGTTCGACATACACTTTTACCATTTTTTAATCACCTGGATTGCTTTCACGTCCATAATGAAATGGAGCTTAACAGTAATTCCTGTGCTCTTTAGGAACATACTTTGTTTTGCTTTTTGTTTTTTTTCCCCCCCCAGAAAGTTGAATATTGAAAATTTTAGGCATATTGCACTATAATCAAAATGTCTTACTGAAATTAAATTTGTGATCTTTAGCTCTCTTCCACCTGTTTGACACCTGTGCCATGCATTGTAGATGTGGTGGGTTGTTCTTAGGAAGGTTGGTGTTATCATCCCAGCAGTTCTTGAGTGTTTTTATGGAATCCACATGTATTGGACAGCCAGAAGTGGAGAGAAACATAATACTCTGTTCACATTTATTAAAAAGATATATTTAGCACCTAGTTTACAAACTAATAACTGTAGCTGCCCTGTACAATTGTTCACCTCGAGTCTTCAGTAAAACATGTCAGCAGTTAGAGGAATTTGTATTGGGGGCATTCCCCATCATTCTCAATTTTTAACATTTTTCTGCTTGTGAAACGATAAAGTACTGTGAGCCTTAATTTTTATCCACAAATAAAAATATTATGTTTGAACATTGGTGTGACTTATTTTTTTTAGGGCTTACATGTAGAAACTACATTATAAATGGGACTTTCTGGTTTTGGTCAATAAAGCTGATTTGTGGCAGTTGTGCTTTCTGGTTACACACTGTCCTGTAGTAAGGAGATGTCCTTGCTGGGGCATGGCTGTCCCTTCAGTGTCAGACTGCGGCATACCCTGCTGCAGGGTAACAGGGTTCTTTGTGGCAATTTCCTCATGCATCCTTTTGTACCATGATGCACTATGGAAAATGTAACTTCTTCCTAAAACTGTGTATAGAGACTGTTCTAAGGGCTCTGTTGTAGCAGCCCAGTTAATTAACTGGATATGGTGATGCCCACACAGACTTGAACAGGCTGCTCTGTTCCTCAGGGTGCAATGTCCTAGCAGGAAACCCCTCCAGCACCTCATGGCATTGTGGCAGACCTCTGCTGCTGGTGTTTGGTTTTTTAGCAGTAGGTCACAATCACAAGACCACATGCAAATTTCCCCTCTAAAAACAGAAAGGCAGCTGAGATTATAGTTAAGAACAAAACCTTCCCATGTCATAAGGAGTTGCTGTCAACTGCAGGACAGAGCATGAGTGGGCAGTGGTTGTTTATCTCACTTAAAGATCTGTTCTTGCAGTGCACAAGCTACAGCTCTGCAATCAAAGTAAACAAATTTTTGGTATAAATTATTTGGCCTTGACCTCTGTGGTGGTTCTGGCTCTGTGGGCTGTGCTTGGGGGCTCAGAGGTGCTCTGGGAGTGGGGTTTGATTGAGCCACTGTTTATGACCTGGACCCTGGTCTGTGATGTGAATAAAGATATATCCCCCCAAAGAGTGCAACAGCAAGTTGTTCTCATCCAAATCCCCCAGCAGTATTTCTGAGCAGCTGCAGCCCTGCTGGCAGCCCTTTGCACTATCTCTGATTGGGAGTTGGCGGCCGGAGCTGCAGCAGTTGTCCCATGCTTGGGACCCACATACCTCTCAGAGACTGCAGGTCTTTGCTTTTTTGGAGGGACTGTGTTCCTGCAGGGAGTCTTCAAAACAAACATCTCATTTTTCAAGTTTTTCTTCCATAGCTCAGTAGTGACGGAGACTCTAGGGCAAAACCCTCTGTGTGCAGTTTCCAGCCTTTCAGAAGAGCATTAAGTGATTTCTTAGAAAAGCCGAGGGAAGGATCCAAGGTAAGTCTTGACTGAGCATCACCCTGAAGCACTCTGGGAGCTGGGGATGCAGCTGGGGTGGTTTTGAGCAAGGTGACAGCTGTGCAGTCATACTCGTTGGGTATCCCAGGGCTCTGGGTGACAGGGAGCATGGAGGCTCCCTGGATCTCTTCTCCCAGTTCCCACCAACAGTGCTACAATGTATCCTGCCGGCCGCCCTGGGTGCACCCAGGGAACATGAAGGTGCTCAGGGTCCATGTTACAAGAGCAAACAATTTGGTGGGCGAAAGCAGATGGGAGAGAACAGTAGCAGAAATGAAGCCAGAATGTTTTTCACAAAATTGTAATTTTCTACAAAAGCTTTTTCTGAAATTTCACAGAATGAAAGGAATACTTAAACTAGTTTTCTGGTGATGTTGTATCAGTTAAGTTACTTTAAATAGCAGGGCACCTATTTCTGGGGCTGCTGTTCTTGCCCAAGGCTGCCTTTATTTAAAGGAATCCTTATTTTTTTTTTTTTTTTTTGTCTCTTGCTTCACCTTAGTCCTGTAATGTGACCTTTCTAATAGAACAAAAAGTTTCTATCTTAAAATATTTCTACTGCATTTTTACAGTGAGTGCAACTTCAAAGCAAGGCTTATAACTTTGAACTTGAGGTTGGCCCAGTTGCTGTGCAGTGCTGGCTGCAGCTCGGCTGCTGGGCATTGCCTGGAGTGGGGTGAGGGCTCCTCGCTGCTCAGGTGTGCTGTCACCAGTCCTCAGTGCATGCTGTAGGGCTGCTCTCTTTCTGGCTTATTTCCTTGCGGAATTAGAAGCAGATTGCAAAGAGACTTGTGCAATGATGTAATAGATATTTGCAAGTGACCTTAATGAGATTCAGGCCATTAAACCACTTGGCTTACACATTTAAGTAAAGAAAGCCATACGTAAAAGAGTAAAGTGAGATTGTGAAACACAGTGACACATCTAGACCATTTCCACATCTCTCCCTAAAGATCAGATCAAGAGTCCCTCATGACTC